TTGGCCACATTAACCATAGATACTGCCGAGGGCGAGAACCCCACCATGCAAGGAGTCTTCTGGCAGATCCTGGCCCAGCTGGGCTGGCCTGGGCTATAGAAGCATGACCCCCACTCTCCTGAAAGTGCTACCAGCTGGAGGAATCAGCTACTTGGTTTATGAAAACATGAAGAACATCCTGGGAGTTTAGCAGAGAGCTGAACCACAGGCCCAGAGTCCGAAGGAGACAGAAGGGCTCAATGTCCCCTGGCCCCAAAGAACCTTGCTGTTTCATCCATGTAGAACAGCTTTAGGAAAGAGTGCGCTGGAGCTCTAGACCGGAAAGAAGCCCGAGGTTCCCTCACTGGAGTACAGGCCAGGACTGCAGTCTAGATCCTGCCAGGAATAAGAAGGCATGCTGTCGACTCAAGGGCCAAATGGTGAACTGGGAAATAAAAGATGTGCTTGGCTAGGTGTGTCTGGGATGCTGGGCCTAGGAGGGGAGCTAGGAACTTGGAGTTCCAGTGGCGCTGTCAAGCAAGCACTGGTCTGGGAACTGCAAGGTCAGAGGTTCACTGACAGCACATGCTCTGTGAGAGAAAGAGGAGGCTGTCTGCTCCTATTAAGTTTGATAGCCTGGGCAACCCTATATAGGGTCACTGTGAGTTGCAATCTATTTGATAGCAGTGGGTTTTATTGATTTTAGGAGGGGGTCCCGGGGTCCTCGAATTCCTGGGTTTGGAAGAGGAATGGGGTGCTTGGAACCCCTGATTCTAAGAGGGGAGCATGGATTCGGAGGAGGAGTACTTGGGATCCCTAAGTCTAAGCGGGGAGCATGGATCCTCAGTTCTAAGAGGGGAGCACCTGGGATCCCCAAGCCTAAAAGGGAATTTCAAAATCCAGGAGGGGAGCAGAGATTTTTCCAGGTGAGGAATATGGAGCTGGGAATCCCTAGGACTAGAAAAGACACCGGGGAACCTGGTCCCTGAATCCTAAAGACAAGTTGAAAATCAGGATATTGTAAGGGTTCAGGAGCAAGATGGAGGCTGGGATCCAATCTTGTGATCTTGCGGCCTTTGTAGGAAGAGTGGGGTGGTGGTATGGGAATTAGAAACTAGGGTTCCCATGGTTTGCGATGGACCAAGCATCCTGGGTCAGCAGGGAAGTCTGGAGTGTGGAATTCTAGGAGTGCTGGGAGAGAAGTGGGGTAGGGGACCTACAACCCAAAGAGTCATGGGGAAGGGGGTAAGCATGGGCACAATTGGAGAGCTCCAGGTTTCCTATACTCCGGGACCACCATCCACCATTCTCTGGAAGCTCCTGAACCTCAAGCTGACCGCGTGCTCAGCCTACCCAATCGGACGCCAAGGGCGCTAAAACCCAAATATCAGGCCCGATTTCGTGTATCCCGTAACCATTGCCCACGTCGCCTGCCATTCACGTGTTCCCACCAATCCAGTTCTCCCTCTTAGGAAAGTTCCCGCCCACTGCAGCTGTGTTTTCATTGGCTCCCACCAAAACCAAGCACCTGTATCTCCTTCTTCCCAATGGCGTCAGTCACCTAGTTCCCGCCCCCTCACCTCAGCCAATGGCTGCATTTAGAAGTCAGGGCTAGAAAAGGATTCTGGTTAACAGGGAAAGCAATCAAGTGTAAATCCAACCTCATCAAGTCGAACTCCCCAGGGATTGGCTAAAGCTAGCTAGCGTCTTCTCAAGGCCGCCCTCCATTGGTGGTCGTCACGACCATCCCGCGGGGCGCCCGCCTAGCCTGTTCAAAGGGGCCTCTCGAAAGCCCGTCCTTTCAGCCCACTTGACTCTTTGGAACCGTCAATCCAGTCCCGAAGCCACCCAGCGATACTGGGAGTCCAGTTTCATTGGGCCTTCCGTCCTCACGGATCGCCT